GAAAAACCTTAACAATTTTATTCCAAAAAAACATACTACTACAATTTTTTACAAGCTTATGAAAAAAATCCATAGTCCTAATCAGGTAGACCGATTGTGACGTGTCCAAAAGCAGCACCAAATACTCTAACAACTTTCTTCACTTTAATACGGTACCTGGCGCCGGTACCTTCTTCAGCGTTCCGGCAAAACTCCACTTTATCCCCAATTTCAAGTTTTCTGGTGCAAACAAACTCACGCCATCCCTTGGTAAGAACCGGCTTCAGGTGCTTTTTCTTGCGGGTATAACACCGGAATGTCCAGACCCGACCGTTCTCGTCTTTGACCTTGAAGTCGACCGCATGATGTTCGCCGGACAACGGGAAATACTTGAGAGACTTGCTGGGTACAGACAGTCTCTTCCCAACATCTGTCTTGCTAAGACACTTGGCAAATATAGCCATGGAATATATTTGTGTTGTCGCGTGACTCTGTTTCCAACTCGAAGCAAATTAGATCGGAATATATATAGCGGAGGAGAGAAGCTCTTCTAATATCGCGCGATTTTAAAAGTTTTTTGTTCGAATTTTGGAATTCTATGATGGAATCATTGGATTTTGACTCTGTAGTTCTCCTTACTTGGTGAGGAAGTACTTAATTTTATAATAAAGAAAAAGTCGGTGAAGGACGTTCGATTTTCTTTTCTTTTTTTCTGGATAGGAAGGACGTTCGATTTTCTGCCGTGTCGCGCGATTTCTTAATTTATTTTTCTACCAAATCGCAAGTATAAAGTGGTAGTTAATGAATAGTACGAGATGGGGGCCCGCAGTCGGTCAAGACTCGAGAGGCAGAGTGAGGGTCCCTCAATTTCTATTGTTTCGCGAGTCTCTTTTTGAGCTTCATTTTTTTATCACTAACAAATTTGGACAATTTTGGACCACATCTGTTGACCCTTTCTTGGCCATCTCATATGTTGTCTTGATACAAGGCCAATCTTTTTTTCCAACTTTATGGTAAAAGATAAATTGATATTTATGCGATCCAAATCTCTACTAAACTATCTCAAATTCGATAAGAAAAAAGTTTATAGAACTTCTAATACTTTGGCGATACAAAAATATTTCAATATATTTTTCTTACAGATCACCTTAAATCTAGCAACTCCTTGGTGAAATAACTCTCTACTCTGCTTTCTAGCTTAATTTTTAGCTTGATAACTCTCCTGGTGGTGCTAGAGTCAAATCTAAATTCAGAACAGTTTTCTCTTGAAAACCGTTAGGGCTGACCAATCCCAAGTCTATCTTCTTGGCATTATTGAATGCTTTACCGAATTTTGTTTTGGGTTTAGCCTTGTTGGGGACTGAAGCACCCGAATTCCCATCAATTGAAGGTGCCCTGGTTGCTCTGTCCACCTCAATTCGATACCAGAATCCTGCTTCCCCTTCTTCCTTGTAGAGGGTCACTACATCTCCGACACCTAAGCGGTTGCGGCGAACAAAGGGTATCCAACCGTTAGAGAAAACAGGTTTTTTGTACCCCTGTTTCCTAGTGGAACATACCATTGGCCACACCTGATCCTCATACCGAATGTTCAATTTTACGGTATGGCTTCCATTGAAATTTGGAAAGAATTCCAGACTCTTTGATCGGATTGCTAGCCTCCTGGTGATATCAGTGCGTTTCAGAGGTTTCTTGAAGAGCCTGGTTGTCTGAGGCATGGTACCAAGATTGGGGTAACAATAAAAATTCTCAGGAAAAGAAAATGTAAAACAGGGAGATTGAAGGGAA